AACCGAACCAACAATGTTTCTACACGAGAGAATGATACCATAGGCAATAGCGCGGTTTCCAGTGGCATACCACTCCCCAAGAGAACATGTTGCTGGACTATACACAAGAGTACATCCAAAGGCAGCCATGACGCCTTGTGTCACCATGAGATGCCACACATGAGTACTGAAGGAGGAGAGAATGAACCCAAGGAATGCTATGATAAGGCCTACAAGCTCTGCTTTGAGCCGGTGATGAGCCCAGTAGCGGGTGAATATGGCAAATAGGAACGGCATGGAGATGTACATGACTCCATTGGAGGTAGTGCCGACTGTGCCAGTAATGGAGAGGTCGCCATCAAGAGTCCAGTTGCTTGTCCAATATTCTTCAAAAATACCGTAACTCAGATTGAAGCCTAGAATGGCATTGTTAGCTAAGGAACATTGTGAGGCCGTAGATTGCTTACCCCAGAGTGGGAGCTGCATGAGTGCTGAGCCCCAAAGCACGCCGAGCTTCTTTTTGCGATCATCACCAATCCCCAGGTTTAATGAATCGGTCTGCGTAGTTGAGTGAGAAGCCTGTTCGGCAGAATTCTCATCCTGCTGAAAACTGCTTCGCAGGATAGGCCCATCTTGAGACCCTTGTTGTTTTTCTGTTTCAGCCATGAGGAGGAGCCGATCTGTTGCGATTTCTTTGGGAGATTAAAGCTAGAGCCTACTTTGCGAAGTAAGAGAAAATAAAGCAGCAGTGTTTCGCCTTCGTGAGTGGGGGGAAATGCGACCTCGGCCTCCAAGTGTCATTGCAGTGAACACTGAGCGCCTGTAGCCGGCTTCGGGGTGATAAGCTGCCCCGAATTGATCGGCGTAAACACCCAATCATTTGGTGTCCACACATTATTATCATAGCACACCCTCCAAGTACAGTGCAGATGTTGTCTCTTGTCGCATTCACGCACACCTGTACAGATATGTTGCAATGCTGTGGAGTAAATGGCGGTGTACATGCGAGGAACTTTGCATGGTCGTCAACCGTGCACATCCAATGATCGGATTTTGTACCCTCGGCGATTCACAGTACCAAGGCTTCTCCGATATCGCCAACTACGTTCCAATCTTGATCGGAACATGGTAGTTCATGGGACGGAATAATGGTGTGATTTATGGCTGATACAGGCGAATTGGGAAAATGAGATAGTCATCAGGTTTAGCTGGAAGGTTGTCATCAATTATTTAGGCAGTGCCTAAATGGAATTGCTAAACCAGAATTGAGGCCATTATCTATCAGTCTTGATAGCCAGACATCTCTCTACTGTATACTACGCTACCTGATTGACCGCAGCTACTCTAAACCAAGGTAGGCATTCAGGATATCTTGTACCAATTTCTCAGCATTACCATATGTAGGACCCATTGTATGTCCAGGCGGTGTCAGTGGCATTGTAGAAGAATCGATAATACGCAAATTCTTAACGCCAAAAACGCGACCTTTAGAGTCAACCACTGCTGATGGGTCACCCGCTTTGCCCATGCTGCCTGAAAGAAGTTACTTAAAGCTGATATCTGTAGAATAAAGAGACTGACTTACAAGAAGCAGTACCATGATGCGTAGGATCGAGGTTGTCGTATGTTAGATCCAGCAAGTGCTCGTCACTGGTTATGTTGGCACCAGGGTATATCTCCTTGCCGATCTTAGAAGGAATATGCTCCCAAAGCTGGCGGGCTCTTCGGAGGGCATACAGAGCAACCTCTTTGTCTGTGTCTGCGCGTAGCCAGTTTGGATCAATGACAGGAGGGTCGAGATTACTAGCAGACGAAATAGTCATGTTGCCACGACTGACTGTCCCAACCATTCTTATAGTCATGGCGGCGTAGTTCTTGCCAGTCGCTCCAGCTGGAGGATCAACCATCTGCATGATGAACTCCACCTCAGGCCAGTCATCAGGGTACTGAGCGAGATCCTCTTGGGCCTTCTTACTAAGATTCGCCACAGGGATCTTCTCGAATGCCCCGACATCAACGCCACCGTTAGTCAAAGGACCCTTCTTGTGTTGGTTAAACTCAGTAATGGCTTCTTTCATCTTGGAGGGCTCTTTCCAGCCACCCGTTGAGATGCCTTCAATCTCCCAGATAGGCCCATGAACAGCAGCTGAATCATGTGTGCCTTGGCCGACTCCCGGTAGATTTGATAGGACTGGGATGTCAAACTTTTTGAGCGTCTCCTCAGGCCCAATGCCAGAAACCATGAGTAATTGAGGGCTGCTCCAGAGGCCGGCAGCAACGATGACTTCCTTTCGGGCTGTCAAATTGAAAGATTGACGACCATAATTATCAACGGTGACACCAACGGCCTTTTTGCCAGAGAAGAGAATCTTGCGGGTCATGGTGTTGATGTATGTTGTCAAACCAGGCCGACCAAGGCTCTGTTGCAAAAATGAACTCTCTGAAGAATCACGAAGGCCGGTTTCTGGGTTGATGGAGAACTGCCACCAGCCCCAACCTTGCAAGACACCAGCAGTGAAGCTTGGAATCTCTTTGAATCCCAAGGCTTCAAAGGCTTTGATAGCGTCCCAGGAAACTGGGAAGACGTATCCTGGAAATGTGAGGTGTAGAGGACCTCCTTTATCTGAGAAAGCGGCAGTGTCATAAAGGCCCGTGGCGTTCTGGGGACGATGCTGACTGTTATCGGAGAACTTCATAGTTCTTGTATTGAACTTGAGCATATTGTCCCACGTGTAGGCATCGTCGCCGACTTTCTCAGCCCAGTGCTTATATGCCCCCTTGGTAGGGCGGTTGAACATCATGAGGTTTCTGGCACTGCTGCCACCAAATGTTCTACCTTGCGCATAATGAATCTTCTTCCCGTTCTATTCAACATCAGTACAAGAGGGCCAGGGTGAGGTCACGGAAAAGCTCACGTTTTGAGGCTGAGTGAAGTAACCCCAATCGATAAGTGGCTGCCAGCTAGACGCGCCCCCCGAACCCTTCCAATCGTTGATCCCTAAGACAGATTAGTGAGTTGGGAGGCAAAGAGTCACGAATGTATTGTGAGACGTACTAAATGGCAGCTGGCTGACGTTACCGTTGCTCAGCTCATAGAACCCTCCTGCTTCAACCAAAGCAACAGTCGCGTTACTGTGCTCAGTGAGACGCGCTGCTGCGAGAGCGCCTGCGGTCCCACCACCAACAATGACATAGTCGTAGGTGGCATTGATACCTGGTATACCAAAGCCATTACCAGTGAGTTGCCCATCATCAAATTGAGGGGGTACGTCTTCAGCGAGTGCTGACACAAGAAGAGAACACAAAACAGGAAGAATATGCATGACGGCGTATTTGGTACTCCCTTCATTAGGTACTGCTATGTGAAACCCACATTCACTTCCGCGAATTTATATACGAAAAGACGATTTAGGCAGGGAATCCTCTCGGGGATACTGAGCTCGACAAGCGTAATTCATCCATCTTGGCGTATTGACCCAAATCACCCGATATCGCTCCTCCCTCCATTTGGTAGGCGTGTCCTCAAGCAAGCTAAGACTAGGGCTACGCGTACTCATGGTACAAGAAAAATAGTAACGAAAGGATATTCGGCATCTCGAATCAACATGCTGACATGAGGATCTACCAATCATTACGAAGTCTTTTTCAATCACCTTTGTTTATTTGAAAGACTTTCGTAAGATAAGACGATGAGGCAAGGAAGTGCCAGTGTCGCATTGTCGATTCCTGAGTCAGTGCATCCCGTGCCGTGCCGCTCGCCAACTTGCAGCTGAGATTGCAATACTACCCGTGCACCAGGTTGTAACCCTAATGATTACTGCTTACCCGGAACAGTCCCATCAAGCGAGACGGATCATCCGCAATAGTTCTTGAGCATTAGTGCGACGCAAGTTCCTTGGCACGAGCCCTGCAAGATGGACAAGACAGCTTGGCGATTCGGCCCGGGCCGGGGTTAGTCAAGACGGAGTCTGCTGGCGAGGCATCTCCACACAGTAAACACGTTTAGGTGAATAAGTTCGTAAACCAACGCTCATGATCTGAGCTTGTTCTCCCCGCAATGCGCTTATCATACCATGTGCCGTCCTTGTGCATACAACCTCGGATCCGTTTATGCAGGGATCTGCACACCAAAGTCCCTGATTCGGTGAATTTCGGCGCTCTGTAAACAATCCTTTTTCATCCTTGCAGTTACGAATCTCAGTCTTGAGACGGGGAGTTGCTTCACGGTGTGGACACCATTAATTCACTCTATAACTGCCGCTACACAAGTTCCTGTATCTTGACTCGTGAGACACGCCATGCCCCTGTTGCTGTCTGAAGAGGTTGACGACGTGTCCTTACTCTCCACCGCCATGAAGCTTAATCTGTAAAGATCGTCGATGCCATACTGCGTGATAATGCATCTTATTCCTATCATAAAGCAAATACGGAAACGAGGCACGAGACCCGGATGATGCAATTGCTGACACGGAATCGTTACCTGTTCTTATCTGTAATTGCGTGGGGTTCATCGGCATCTTTACCGAGGCCAAGAATGTACAGCTTGCCAGAATCTGACCCTCCTGCAGCCTAACTGGTTCATGGTAGCCAGATACGGTGAGCATTGAGGGTGTGTAACATCATCACGGACCAAGATATCTCGGGGGATCTGACAGAAGCCGCATTGAGTCCCCCTACCCACCTGAGCACGGTGAACGAGGTGACAATAGGGAGCAGACAAACTAGGCAATAACTCACAAGATACAAGACTCGAGTGGGAAGAGAAAACCAGTATTGACAATAAGCGTAGCTGATGAGAATATGTCCCACTGACGGCGGACATGGGTTCTAGCTGTTTCAGAGGTCATGGCTTAGATAGAGAACAAGTATAATAATGAGGGAAAACGACCGACTCTTGGCTTGAATTACAGCCCAAATTCAAGATTCTTAATGCGACTTATTTTCTTGTCCACGAAACTCTTCTCACTTGTTTAAAGATACTATCAGTTCCAAAGCCGTACAAATACTACCAAGTCAGCAAAATGGGATCCCTTCATACTGAACTTTCACCATCGCCAGCCTTCTCTTCTGTGCGTTCCGCATTGGCCCAGAACAACAACAGAATCATTCTCTGTGAATCTCACGATGGCACCTCCACAGAGATCATCAGAGCAACTGTTGGTAAGAACGGCCAGAAGTTCGACGGCATCTGGTACAGTGGTCTCTGTCAGACTACCTATCTCGGCATTCCAGACAGTGAGACGCTCTCCCCACTCCAACGGGCATCACTCCTCGCACTTGACGGGGAGCTCAAGCGCAAAACAAGCAACCGCTCCCTCTGCGCCGCTTTTGACGCAGATAGTGGTGGTGATATTGCAGATATCCCTGCTTTGGTCGCACTCATGAACCTTGTCGGCGTCGGCATGGTCGTCATCGAGGACAAGGCCGTTTCAGCCCCAGGCCAAAAGGTCAACTCGCTTGCTGCGTCATCTGCTTCACAGGCTCTGGCTGATCCCCACGAATTCGCGGAAGTAATCCGCGCTTTCAGAGAGGTGAATGCAAAGGCAAAGGGAGGCCCCATGATCACTGCTCGTATTGAGTCCTTCTGCTGCCGTGTCTCTAAGGCAGATGCGGAAGAAGAAAGCAGATCTTACGAGGCTGCACACCAAGATGCCCTGAACCGAGCCAAGGTCTACCATGAGGCGGGTATCGACGCTATCATGATCCACTCCAAGAGCAAATCTCCCCATGAGGTTACTCGGTTCTTGCGCGAGTACCGCGAGTTCGACTCCCAGACACCTCTTGTTGTCGTTCCAACTACCTACTCAGAGATACCCAAGGATGCTCTGTACGAGGCTGGCGCCAACGTTATCATCTACGCCAACCACTTGATGCGCGCCAAGATCAGCGCTGTTGGCTCTATCTCTGACAAGATCCTAGCCAAGAACTTGGACCTGTTTTACAACGACGCTGAGATACGAGCAATGATTCAGGCTCGCAACTACGGTTGCCTTCTTAGAAAGCTACGGAACCGTAGTGCTTGGGGCGAGGAGAGCAATGAGGCAAGGATGTACAGAATTGTTGCGGAGGCGACGGCCTCGGAGAACATTCAGGCTACTGTGATCGACTTGCTAGAGGGGAAGCTTGCAGGGTGCGAGGCAGACACGCGCATTGTCAGCGTCAAAGAACTTCTCAAGATCAATGCAAAGCAGGTAGTTCCCGTAGCGGAGCTTGTCACCCAGGTAGATGTTTACTAGATTAGGTTAAGCTTCTTACACTGTTTTTGAACTGTCTTATCTTGCTGCAAACCTCTTCCTCACATCTTCATGCACGCTGTTCAATAGCCCTATGCTGTGATGCAATCCTGACAACCAAGTACTTGTGACTTTTGAGAAAAGTAACTTAGATAAGGAGATGTGATCACAATTGTTGTGGTAGCTACATTGTACGCCGTAGCCCCTCTTCAGGGAACACGATACATACGAAGAACTTCTCGGGGCTATCAACCTCACCTCTGATGTCCGAGTTTTGTACCCACACAGAGGGAAAAGGCTCTACCCTGAATTGGGAAGCTGGCATTATGATATCTTGCGTAACGCTATCTTGAGTTGCGCCATCTCTCGTTTCACGCACTTGCATGTTAGGTGGGTGTTGGGTAGTACTGCATATGGTCAAGCTTACTTCAAATTGTTAACATTAGTCGCACGGATCATCGGCAAATGGAGGGGTGAGGGTCCTTTCTGGCTGACGACGCCACGACTGTGACTGTCCATATGTAACGACATATTTGGAGCGGCACAAAGCAAACGGGTCTGTAGACGTGGCGTGATGTAGTTAGACTCCGGGATGTTTTGAGTAACAGTGACACTCCCAGTTCAATCATTCTGCTGCCCAGATAGACGCTCCAAGTAGTCACCACTATAAAAGCTAGGCTATCTGAGGGACGTATAGACTAGCCAGTCTAAAGCAAAGCAATCCAACTTCAAGCATTTGATACATCTTGACACTTTGAATTATACACTCACAAAATGGCACCTGGTCTCATCGAAACTGTCAGCGACTTTTCGCGTCTCCCCAAGACTGAGTACCGCACCAAGCTGGAGGTCAAGCCCCAGTCAGCACTCTTCCCTGATGGCTACAAGACCACAGGCCAGCAGCCTCCCCTCTACGAGGAAATACACCCATACTCGGATTTCCCTAAGGAGATCACTGGCATAACAGCTTGGACTAAAGATGATCTATCCGGGTCTCCTGAGAAGGAAGCCATCTGGAAGCACCCTCTCACTCCAGAAGAGCTCGAAGACCTGAGCACAGCTGCCGAGAACTACATCAACAGTGGCCGAGATTTGAACGAGATGTGCAAGGTATGAGTTATGAGTCAGGTAATGCATGAATACATGTGCTGAAATGGCTGTTCAGGAGCTGTTTCCTCTTCCTCGTATGGCCAAGTACCTTGAAGAGGTTCGAGATGATATGATCAATGGCTACGGATTCATCTTGTTCCAAGGCATGCCTGTCAAGGAATGGGGAATGCGCAAGTCTTCTACGGCATACATGGGTTTAGGAGCTCACTTTGGGCATATCGTGAGTCAGAATGGTAGAGGCCACGTGCTGGGGCATATCAAGGACCTGGGTGAGAACCCAGCGGACTTCCACAAGGTCCGCCTGTATCGAACCACGGCAAGGTATGTGACTCAAGATCCTGCTCGGCAGCTGGGCTCAATCGTATTACAGACAAACCTTCCATGCGGACCCGGCAGATATTGTCGGACTACTATGCCTCAATACTCCGCTCAAGGGAGGTGAGAACAACATTGTTTCGGGCCATCGGGTCTGGAACGTTATGCAAGAGGAGCGACCTGATATCGCGGAGCTTCTCACTCAGCCCATTTGGTACTTTGACCGAAAGGGAGAAGTCAGTGATGGACAGGAGGATTATATCCGATGTGCCATTTACTACATTGAGAAGGGAAATGGCAGAGTGTACTCCAAGTACGTCAGCTCACCAAGTCACTGTAGCCTTGAAGCTATGATGCTTACATTCTCAATTGTAGATTTGATCCAAACTACGTTAGGTCTCTGAAGAGATTCTCTGACAAAGGCATCATCCCCCCTCTCTCTGATGCACAAGCAGAGGCGATTGAGTTCTTTGACCAAACTTGCTACAGGGAATCTATTGGTAATGTCCTTGAGGTCGGAGATGTCCACTTCATGACTAACAACCATCTCTACCATTCTCGCCAGGCCTACACGGACCATGAGCCACCCGCTCCCCGTCGCCATCTCCTGCGACTGTGGGTCTCCACGCCTGAGAGCGAAGGGGGATGGAAACTTCCGTATCATGATTCTGATTGGAAGAGAAGGGGCGGGGTGCAGGTTGATGATCGGCCTCACAAGGTTTTGCTCCACGCGGACTGAAGATAACGATTTTCAAGGCTCCATTCGTGGGATCATTACCCTTGAATGAAGATGTGGACATGCATCGCTAGAATGAACAATGATATGGGATTTGAGTTTTTCACCCGCATCAGTCTTGATCGTAGTCTTACACGCTGTCCTTACGAATCTTGATAAAAACCTTCTCAAAACTGGGTTTGTGACCGTGGGGTCAACCAGGGTGTCCAGTGAAGATCTTGGTCAACCTTGGCAAAGCTTGTTCTCAGGTATGCTTATATGCATCAAGTATCGCGGCCCGGATAAAGCGGTATCTTAAAATCTCGCAAGCACGCGATCAATTTCCCAATACCGTCTAAGATTGCTCGGACACAATTCTCCCGGTGTGGTGACACAGCAGTTACAAGGATCAAGGCGTGCTAAGGCGGAGATAAGAACTGAGGAGACAAATCTAGCCGGTGGGTATGGGGAAAGTCTAACTAATGGGGATTCTTATTGGGACGCCCTCCGCGGCGAAGGATTGGCTGTGCTCCGTGTTTGCATGCTGCAATGCTACTGATGCGGGGTCTGAGGTGCCGTAATAGCCGTTGCTGCGAGGAAACAAAGCTGTACTTCTCTGATACGTCATTTGCCTTGTTGTCTCCCAAGTTGTGCGTCCTGAGGTCTTCATTCAGAGGTCGTCTTTGTGGTGATTGTCAGATCTTTGCCTAATCTGTTGTTCTGGTGCCATTGGCAGGGCGCAGGCTTGGAGGCTGGCAGATGAGGGGTCTTCTGTATGCCCCGCCAAGCAGCACCCATCATACAGCACTGTCATCGCGACTCTCTCTTCTCTTGCAAAGTAGACATTCTGTACCACGGTTCAAGCTTCACTTCACCTTCATGGTCCATTCAATTGATAGCGCTATTCATCACAAATTATTCACCATCATGGCCAGGTAGGCTGATTATGTTTCCTCGTCTTCCTTGAACCAGTGACTGATTGACATGATTGTTGTCTGCCAGACCCGAATACCAGCCTGTGTCTCGAAACAATATCGACCAAATTCCTCTCGTCGAGCCAGGTGCTTCAGCTGGTGACGAAGCATCCGACTCTGACCTTGAAAACGACATCGCCATCAGCGAAACCGAATTAAAGCGCGACCATATTCCCAGACGAACCCTCATTCGTGTCCTGGCAGCTAACGGAGTCATCCAAATACCTATCTGGGGTATGTCTCCCTCTGTCTTTGTGCTGTACATCCACTCACAGAAGATCCAGGCTTCGCAATCAGCTACGGCGTATTGGAGGAGTATTACTTCAACAACTGGACTCTCCAGGGAAACAAAGATATCACGGGCGCTATCGGGACAACAGCCAATGGCATCATGTACCTTTCCATGCCCTTCCTTTTCGCGTTGTTCACAAGACGATGGGCATACCGGCGTCAAGAGGCTGCTTTCTGCGGTGCCCTCATAGCTTCCATCAGCTTCTTCCTGTCAACATTTAGCACCAATGTTTGGCATCTGCTTGTTACGCAGGGAATCACCTCGGCATTTGGCTGCGCCCTTATCTACAGCCCCATTACCCTCTCCTTGGGTGAATGGTACACCACCAGCAACCGATCCGTAGCATACGGACTGGTCTTGTCATGCAAGAATATTGTTGGTACCCTCGGTCCATTCCTGTTTAAAGCTTCACTGGATACGTGGGGCTTCCGGACAACTATGACTGCCTGGGCCGTCTTTGTTGGCGCAGCAAGCATCCTCAGTATCAGCCTTGTTCCTATCCCACCATCAAGAATTGCCATGCACAAGACACCAGAAAGAAACATACCCTGGGACTTTCTCAAACATCCCGCTATATACTTCTATAGCATTGCAGTGTTCTTTCAAGGAACCGGTTATGGTTTACCCCAGACCTACTTGGGCACTTATGCTCAGGACTTCAGTCTCTTATCGGAGACAATGGCAACCACAGTCTTGGCACTACAGAATGCCGTCGGTATCCTTGCATCTGCATTTTTTGGATGGCTCAGTGATAACAAGAAAATTGTTCTGTCAGCGCAAACTGTGTCAGCAATTCCATGCGTCACAAGCGGGTTAGCCGTGTTCCTGTTTTGGGGAAACACCACACAGGGAGGTGTCTTTCTCTTGGTCCTATTCTCTATCACATTTGGTTTCTTCTCAAGTGGCTACAGTGCTACCTGGGGAGGAATCCTCAAGCAGATGGAGAGTGACTCCGCAGACAGGGGAGAGTCCATTGACGCTGGGCTGATATACGGTCTAATCAACGGTGTAAGGGGTGTTGGGTATCTTGTTGGAGGTGCAGCGAGTGTGTGGCTGATAAATGCTGGCACAATTTCTGACTGCCAGCATTTCGGATATGGTAGTACCTATGGGCCACTAATTCTCTTTACGGGTCTTGTTTCGCTTGCTGGAGGCTGGGTTGTTATCTGGAGTTGGTGGCCTAATTCGTGGACTGTTGGAAGGCACAATTGAGAATAGCCGTGGACTGCAGATAGACTCGATTTATATAAATCGTCATATATACATAAAAGGGTGATTTCAATGTATCTGCTTCGAAGGAGTTCTTCAGAACTAACGGGTTTTACATTATCCTAACATACTGACAGGCCAGCGACCAAGAGAAGATCGTGCGCCACAACTCTTCTCAGCAAACTAAGCATAATACGAGGAAAACCAGAAAATAGATGAAGAGACTTGTTCATCTAAAAAATAAATTCTTGCATTGTGGTTTAATACTTAAATGTGACCTGGAAGTCATAGCTAAATGCTCCATGCTGTGTAAAGTGCTCCAGCCCTGTTACATAAGCTGTGCCATTACTGTACTCAAGCTTGGGTGATGGAACTTCCTGGTCTACTTTCTCAGAATGGTACTCAGCGCCCTTAGGTGCGTTGCGAAGTCCAGCCACAGTTATGTTTACGAGTGGAGGACTCAGCTTGTAGTCTCCAGTGGTTTCCGCCCGTAAAATCCCCTTCCTGAAGGTATACTATAAGGTATGATTAGTCACGGTGTTCATGGCTGAGATTAAGGGCCATTTAACTTACTGCGACAGTCTTGGTGGCTTCTGGTTCGAGACTGACACCATCATCAAAATACACACTTCCTTCAGCGTACTCATTATCGTCCAGAGCCAAGAGAAGTGAGAAGGGGTTCCTTCTAGTCGCTGCAGTCGTATTGCCTGGTTTCTGCAATGTGAATACTGTGCCGCCTCTGATGTGAAGGTTGATATGTTCCAAAGGTGCATCAAGAGTGATGTTCTCTTGAGGTTTGGCATGGACTTCATTTAGTGTATACCAGTCATACCACCTTGTTCCTTCTCCAATCCCAGGGAAAACACCTCGTACTATTTTGGAGTTTGGAGTGAGAACAGGTGTTACTAGAAGAGATGGACCTAGTAAAAACTGGGAATAGGTGGCCTTGAGGCTTTCGTCGTTTGGAAACTCCCATGCCAAAGCACGCATCACAAGATCGCCTTTGGTATTGGCGTAGTGGAACAGAGTGTAGATGTAGTTGAGAAGGCTGTATCTTATCGCTATAGCTCGGCGTGAAGCTTCAGCAACAGACGACCAGACAAACGCTTCTTGGGATATCGTGCCGCCCATGTTGTGATTTCGATAAAAAGGCATGAAGGCTCCCAGAGACATCCATCGAGCACAAAGGTCAAAGCTGGCGTTATGGGAGTAGCCACAGATGTCAACTCCAAACATGGGAATTCCAGCCATCATGTGTGTCAGGGCGTGTGAGATGGATAAGAACATACTACCCCATTTGGATGAGTTATCACCTCCCCACCTCGTCGCATATCGGCCAATGCCAGCAAAATTGCCACGGGCGATGTTGAATGGACGACGACCAGGGAACAGATCAAGCAGTCCTTGGTAGGTCGCATTGGAGATCTGGTTGCCAAAAAGATTATGCATTTGATACTCAGTGGTGTTTAATTCATCATTGTGGGTTGCATCCGGGGAGATGGTCATTCTCCTGATGGAGTGGCCAGGTTGCAGACTGCAATGACCATCAGCATATTGTGTCATGATGATAAACAAGGCTGACTTACTTGTTAAGAACATAAGGTGGATAAGTCAGGTTTCTGACACCTGGTGTTGGCTCCGTACGTCCTAGCGTGCTAGTGACAGGCACTTGGAAGACATGGGCAGCTTCGACCTCCGCTGACTGATTGGCCGCAAGCTCTTTTGCCTTTTCAAACTCAGAGCGATTAGTCACACTGAAGCCATCTGGATACTCATAGAACATCCTGAGCTTCTCTCCAGGAATCAGGAACGGAACATGAACGGGGTTCATATCTAGACGACTATTTCCGCAGGGCCCCACGCAGTATGAAGCGGGCTCTGTAAGATCGGAGAGCATTCCATCGTAAGGCACGCTATCGTACCATATCTTGAGCTCTCCAGCCCACCATTTGTGCGTCTCAGGCAACATGAAGTCTCCCCAGACAACGAACCCAGGCCAGTTGTTGCCCGTGTAGAAGTCGCCCGACCCTGGATCCCTGATGAATGCTTTGAGCTTGGCGCCGCGTTCATAGGGACCGTAAGTATCCTTTGGATCATCAGGATTCGGACGGTATATGTTGGCCCATACAAGGGGAACGTAGTACTGCTCGTTTTCATGAAGCCAGTCTACCCACTTCGCCATGCGATCAGGCGGGAAAGTGACCGGGTTATTAGCGAAGCTGCGGAAGCCATCAAACATGTCAAAGTCTGACCAAATAGCCTCGAGTGGAATATCAGCGGCTCTGTAATTCTCAACAACCGCTTCGATCTTATCTAGGGTGTCATATCCCAAGCGACATTGGTGAAAGCCAAGTGTCCAGAACATTTGCATCGCAGGTAAGCCAACGCAGCCAGCGTGATACTGGCGCATGGTCTCAATGGCTGTAGACCCTCCTTGCTTGTTCTGGCCGCTAAGGAAGTAGAGATCAACACTTCCACCGATGGTGCGGTATGTCAATGTCTCAGGTCTCAGAAGCCACTCTTGGCCATGAGCATTGCGGGCGTATACACCGTGAGAAGTGGTATTGCTACCCTTGTGGTATCGACTCTCCTGGTAGAAGGGATGGACACCATAGATATTTCCATCTATTGGGTTACCGTGCTCTATGCCAGCATCATTGGTCCAGAAGGTCTGGGTGAAGTTTTGCCCAAGATGGAAATCATGTATGTTCTCAGCTATTACAAATGTCAGCTTGGTTATTGATAAATCTTGGGGGTTGCCGTGCCTAGTCCGTAGACGTTGTAGTCGGGCTCCATGCTAGTTACCAGTTCAATGAACTGGTCCTCAAATACGATGACATGACCGTAAGTCGAGAAAAGGACCTCTCTATCACAGCTCCGGGTAATTTTAAATTGGAAGCTCGGCGAATTACTGTGATGGATGGATCAGTTGACCTGAATCACGTCGTGTAGCAATTAAATGACCCACGTAAACTCAAATCTGAGGTCACTGTTCGAGATTGTCGTCTTCTTGTCTTGTACAGGCTCAAATACAAGTGAGTCTGGTAAGATATACTGAGTTCTGTTCTCTTCAGAAAGATACTTGGGGAATATCTTGACATTCAGTCTCTCCTTTGTCTGATACTGTACCTCGAGTATCAGGTCACGAATGTCATTACCACTATACATATTCAGAGGAGTGTTATACTGAGCGAGATTAATACGTACAACGCCTGGCAGTTAGGTCCAGCCATGGTCAAGTCAGCCTTCACACCTCTGAGGTCCCTCTTGATATTTGTTGCCTTGTAGCCGGGGCATTTCTGTGGGTTGGGTGCATGAGGGTCCTGGAATGTTGGTGTCAGACTAGGAGCGACCGCAATGTCAGGCGAGGCCGTCTTGGACTGAACAACAGTCGATATTGACGACTCAGCTACATGTATCCATATTAATCTACAAATTCGAGTTCCAGGCTCACTAATGAACGCTTACCTTGTGTCGTGACTATGAATAGTATTAAAACCGGTAAATAGCTCAACATTGTGATATTCGATGCAGCAAATGAATGTCGAGACGGAGGACGACAGAAACGCTGTATGACCGTGAGCAATTGGAACACTGGGTGAGGCAGCCTGTGGAGGTCTACTACACGCGATTTGATGAGACCAAATGCTTATCGTCCGACGATACTCCAAAGGAACGGACTCATATGCATACAGCGACGATTTGCGACCAAAATAGGTGAGCTCCCCGGCACGTAAACATCTAATGATACGTGCCCTCCTCAATCCCCAGCCGGTCTTCCAGCACCATCCAGGCTGCGAGTCTTTTCGTAGGCTGGCGCGTATACATCCCAGATGCAGATGCTATCATTGCCATGAATCGTAATGATTTCATCCCTCTGTCCTCCCTCCCCACTACTTCTCAGAGGAGGTGTAGGGTTGGTAAAATGCAACATGGACAAGAGCCCGCGTCTCACGGATATCTCGGCACGGGCGTACCTAGGGGCGGCAAGTGAAAGAAGCATAAGATAGTGCCGGGTAGTAGCTGCGGCCAGGGTTTGCGAGCCGTACCCGTAGTCTTGCAGGGGAGTGCATACGCCATGTCAACATTGACAGTGTCAAAAGCCTGAAAAGGTCATTCAATTTATGCAATTAGACCCCTGTTATCCACTGAACCAGGGTCTAAAAACACCCATCCCCACTAACCAATTCTGCTCCGGCCCCTCTCATGGTCAGTTCCGCCTCAAATGATAAGCGGGGAGCTAGTTTAGTACTCCGCAACCCCGGATCGGGGCACAAACATGCATGGTAAGACCGTAGGACAAGGCCTTGGTCGCGTAGATACTCCAATCAAGATGAATGAATCTCAAATCCTTCCAATGATGCCATTGTCTTTGTTACTGATGCACAACACCGTGAAACCATTGATCATTTCTTTGTTGTATCTCGGTGCGACACATCCTTCCCAACGCTTATCATGCTTGTCAGAAAGCTTATGTGGTATTTTCGTAATCTCTGACCTCTACACCACCACTTCCGGATGATATGATGATCCTTGTACGCTCAGACAAACACCCTTAAACTCGTGTTCAATGTATCATGAGAAAGGTTACAGCTCCCAGTCACAGTAACGAGCTGCACCTGGGTACTTCCTTGGCCAGTAGCACTCACCAAATATTTTGATCAACCACGCCACGTCATCTCGGCAAGTATTACTGTAGTATTACAGACCAACTGATAGCCGTTACTGTATGAAGGCGTGGGGTTGAATCTGTGAGAACGTTATCTCGAAAAGGCAAGTCGTCGCACGACCATGGTTGCATTGAGTTGGAGGTGCGGAATATGCAAGTTTGCGAGCTCATGTTGACTCCGTATGCCCGAATATTGCTTGCTCTTCGTGGGGGCAGGAGACCATTTGTTACATCATGACAGCAATCATCATCTCAAGCACTTCCCTCAACACCTCGTCAGCATCAAAAACTCTATGGCAAAAAGCATCTGTTACACAATCCTCGAAGGCACTACACTTACTTTTCTTTTGCAATCACTATGTCTACCCTTGATCCTCGTTTGTTCTACGAGCAAGTACTCGTCGAGAATGGAATCACTCATGCCTTCGGCGTCCCTGACTCCTGTTTGAAGGGATTCCTAGCATATCTTTATGCGACCAAAAAAGCGCCAGAGCAAATCGTCACAGGCAGTGAAGGTGCTGCTGCTGCGCTGGCTGCAGGTTACTATCTGTCAACCCAGAGTCTCGCCGTTGCATACATGCAGAACTCGGGTCTCGCAAATGCTTTGAACCCTCTGCAGTCCCTGGCTGCCAAAGAAGTGTTTGGAATTCCAATGCTTCTTATGGTGGGCTGGCGTGGACGACCAGGAGAACACGATGAGCCAGAGCATCTCTTGGCCGGCCCTCGCACCTTGGAGACTCTGGAGTCGCAGGGGTTTCCTTATGAAATCTTACCAGAGACTCTCGCAGAAACCAAGGCTGCAGTCGAAAGACTCGTCAAAGCCGCCAAGGAGGGCAACACTCCCGCTGCCCTTGTCATCCCCAACCACAGATTCGCTGCATACCAGCCTGAGCATGAAGCTAGTAATGGTGTTTGGCATCCATCTGTTACAAACTTGGCCAAACATACAGTCAGGCCTGAAGATTGGCGTTCTTCTGAGGGCCAACCTCCTCTGTCAAGAGAACACTCCATTAGAATCATCCTCAAAAGGCTTTACCCGGAAGATGTCACCGTATCTTCGGTTGGAGGGAACTCTCGTGAGATATACATGATTCGAAAGGAGAACAACGAGGACCTATCTCGGGCATTCTTATCCATTGGGGCCATGGGGCATACATACCCTCTCGCCTATGGCGTGCAGATCGGTCATCACAAAGGCCGCGTCGTCTGCGTTGAAGGAGACGGTTCCTTCTTGATGCACGTAGGCAATGTAGCCGTTCTGGCTGCCCAAGCATCGGACAAGTTGATTCATGTTGTGATTCACAACGGCATACACTGCTCAACTGGAAACCAACCTGTCCCGATTAGCACCAACAACCTTCTTTCGCTATGCGGAAGCTTGCCTTATAAGCAGAAGTTCTTTGTAGATAGTGCTGAGGGCCTTATACAAGCTTTTGAGTGGGCTGAAAAGACGGCTCTGATTGTTGTTGTCGTCAATCAGGACGTCTCGAAGAACTTGCCTCGTCCCTCGGAGCACCCATTCGAATTACGAGATGCTTTTATCTCCCATTTTGCCAAATAGGATGACGTTTCGTTGGCATATTAATTTATTTATTACTAAATTAACTTGATGGAATCAACAACTCTTGTAAATTTGGTTTATAACCTTATGCTTGTTTTGGAATTAACAGCTCACTGGAGCTTATTTTGCTGCTGTAAGAATCTCAAGATACTTATGTCCCACTACAATCTGCTTTACGCTGGATAATCTTGAGCTTGTTCTCTATCTACATTATCTAATATACAGACAACTCTATAACATGGCCCTTTATACCCCGCACTGGTACAGTGTAACCAGTAAGCACCGATCGACAAGCAAACAGCACTAGTAAGCAGTAATTTTGTTTAAACACAGGCTTTCGTAGTGGGGGGTTCCGCCCCGCGCCATTTATCTGTTGGCAGTACATGCTGAGTGGAATACGGTTAAGACAGGACCCATCTGCTGGCCAACCCCTCTCTTAAAAGGCCATAAAACTCGACCTCGAGCATAGTATTCGACTTTTAACCTTCAATTATACGATTGTTTGTGACATTTTCAATCTACTTTATCGACATACTTCCAATTGACCGCCCTCAATTCTCATCATGCCTCAAACGCAAAAGGCTCGTGTACCAGTCATTTTCGGTGCCATGACGTTTGGGAGAGAAGGTAGTGTAGCATTTTCATCAAGCGAAGATTCTTGCTAATGTCAGTAGGCGTTGAGCAAGCACGTATCCATGACCTCAAGGAAGCTGGTGCCATGCTGGATCTTTTTCAAGAACATGGCGGTACGGCTATTGACACAGCTCGCGTGTATGCTCAAGGCTCCTCTGAGGAGTACCTTGGGCAGCTGGATTGGCAAACTCGAGGTTTCCGAGTTGACACCAAGCTATATCCTAACATTCACGATGGGACTGGCAAAATCACTCATTCTACCGATGATCTTCGGAAGCACCTAGATGAGTCTCTCAAGGCCCTCAAGACAGACAAGATAGATCTCTGGTATCTCCATGGACCAGACCGCGACACGCCATTCGAAGAGACTCTGAGAGCCTGTAATGAGTTGCACAAAGAAGGGAAGTTCAACAGGCTCGGGGTGAGTAACTACATGGCTTGGGAGGTTGCCTATATGAGCGAGTTGTGCATTCGTGAGGGATGGATTCGACCTACCGTTTATCAAGGAGTATACAATGCCATCCATCGAACAGTTGAAATGGAGTTGTTTCCTTGTCTCAGACACTACGGGATCACATTCTATGCCTTCAGTCCTCTGGCTGGAAGTCAGCTAACTGGGCGGTACAAGCGGGACACTCAGGATACAGACATTGAATCCATGTCTCGCTTCGATCCAAACACTTTTCAAGGTCGCAAGTACAGAAGGCGATTCTGGAACGACGTCATCTTTGACGCGGTTGAGCTTATTAGGGATGAAGCCGGAAAGCATGGGCTCACAGAGATGGATTGTGCTTTCCGCTGGATTGAGCATCACTCACAGCTTGATCCTGAGCGAGGCGATGCGGTCATTATTGGAGCCAGCAGTAAGAAGCAGCTGGAGCAAAACTTGGATCTTCTGGAGAAAGGACCTTTGCCCAAGGAAATCGTGGATGTTCTGGACAAAGCGTGGCTGATTACCAAGGGCAGCGTCAACAATTATTGGCATTAGTTGGCTATTAAGTTGAAATGAATTTTACTACTAGCAGTCTCATCGTTACCTATGATTTCCGATTGACTCTATTGATATTGGTAAATTGACCTAGTTAACATCTCATCAACATCAAAACCCAATCTCTTTCACACGCCCTGCTGCATTGCGTCGTTTTCCATCCTGAAATGGTGCCATCCTGGCGCGGGGACGTAATGACCTCCGGTTTTCGGATCTCATTGCGAGCCCGAAAGATTAAGAAATCCGATTGGTGGTTGCTTTTTGTTTGCTTGCGAGTGTGTGTGCGCAAAGAGATAACGGCGCATGCTTATCGCTGTTGGTTGCACTCCATCTCGGATGTATCGGCATCAATGAGCAGGTTACCTTGCAGTGAGAACCATGGCAAACAAGTTTGATGAATCAGAAGAATCAGATCATGCGATCTACATGCCTATCCAACTGCTTTCGGTAATTCGTCACGAGTGTTTGGGCCATTACATACTGCCCACTGCCTTTGGCAATGCTTTTTACTTGAGTCACCTGATTACTTAGCCTTCCCCCTCGGTGCACTCACATAGCTCATTACTCCAATGCCCGGCCTTCGAGACGATCAGCAGCTCAATTTTGATATACTTTCGTATTTACAAAGTAGCTTCAATCATGACGGACTGGAAAGACGCTGAATACACTCTTTACTCGTCCCCCTTCTCTCTCTACTCAATGATGGCCCGTCACACCATCCAACTTGGCCCAACGACGCATGGTGCAACACCACCAAAAAGCATCACCCTACAATTCATCAACCACAAGGCCCATGAGAATCTCGGCGAAGATTACTTGATCAACGTCAACCCAAGAGGTCAAGTTCCCGCGATGAAGGGCAATCTCCTCAAAGAAACTCTGACTGAGAGTCGTGCCATCTCTCTTCATCTCGCAGAGAAGCACTACCCCGCCATGCTGGGGGACAAATATGAAAACTTCGTCAGAGATCTCTTTGAAAGACTACATGCTGTCTACGGACTATCAATCAGTAACCCGAAACCAACTGCGGAAATGACCCAGCGTAATCCGTCGCCAGTTGAAAAGATGCTCCAGAGGACTGATATTAGCCCGCACTATCGCGCCGCTCTAGAAGCCAAACTTGCCTTGTAAGTTGTATGTCATATTCTATAACAACATTAGACTTACAGAACTCTTTAGTCACGACCAGCATAACGCGATTGCTTTCCAACCTGATGTTGTAGCTAAGCATCGTGCAGATCTCAAGACTATATTTGAACAGGTCGTGGAGCACCGCAAAAGCAGTGGCTCTTACGAGGACCATGATCAATGGACGTTTGGGTCAGATATTGGACCGACTATACTGGATAGCCATCTGCTCCCTTTTACCTTGCGATGTCTGGAGGTAGGCAGCGATGATCTTGTACCTTTGGAGCTGCGAGATTGGGCCAAAGCGAAGGAGAAGAGCCCTTCATGGCAGAAGGTCATGCATGGAAAGCCGACTACTTATCATCCTTCAATGGGCCCTGTTGCAGAGATGTCTGAGATGATGACTCTTTGACGGCGCAGTTGTGGTGCCGCTAATTTCTTTATAATCAATATTTCAACATGTCCCATCTAAAGGCTCTCTATTCCGTTGTTTCCCTATCAGGTCTAGACAAAGACATAATCTATAAAGGCGAGGGTACACATGTCTGGGACGCATGGCTTTAATCGACGGCCCAGGTCTTCTAATCAGACTAGTCTCACCATACACCAATATCAACACGTTTTATCTCTTTCCGACTACCTATTGCGTATCATCGTAGAAGAACAAGTCTAGCGCAGAAGTGTCTATCATGAACAGATCATCCAACAGGGGGTCTTGCGTAGATCCTAGAAAGCCCGTGCTTGGATAGAAGTCGGTAGTTGTGGGCTGTGAATTGGAAATCAGATCAGCCAAGGCCGCATTTGGTAGTGTTTGAGCTTGTTGATTACTCCAAGGGGGCGAATTGCCGCTTAGATGCTCATACGATGATAGACCACCCTGCAGATTTGGCTCAAGATCAGGTGGTGGCCGACGATGTTGCCCAGGTGTTGCAACGTGTTGTAGTCTTGTAGACGCCTTTTCAACCCTATCCTCTCTGACCTTCGAGGCCCTTTGCTCAAGAACCTGCATCAGCCCTTTCGCATAAGTCCAATACTTGACTAACTCGCGTAAGGTTGCAAGAAACGTGTCAAGTATATGCCGCGATTTGGCAGCCAGGAGCGGCTTGCTGGTGCTGATCTGGTTCAGAATGTAGATAGTTGCTGTAAACAGCACATGATTGCTGTATAGCCATAAGGAAGAGATCATCCTTTTGCTCAGTAGGGTTTCGAAAACAGACGCAATTGCTACTGTTGATTCCCTGCAAAGTATGGCGTTATCTTGTGCCTCGGGAGATTGATCCCTGATGGTGGGCTTTGGTGCTGGCCGATGGATCAGCAGAACGAAGTTATGGTGGGTCAGGTGAAACAAAGATTGCCAGATATCAAGGTCTAAAAGTTTAAGTTGCAGCCTTGGTGGAAGCTCAAGCATGAGATTCCCAAGAGATTCATCTGCTCTCTTGATAGCCCTAGTACGTTCCTCTTTGGAAGATCGCGGTGACCAGCCATCTCTTATAGTTTGTGAGATGATCTTGCAAAGCTTGGTATGATAGGTGATAAACTCGAACTCCGCTCCAGGAATCCCTTCGAGGTCAGCAGGCTTCAAGTCAGCAACATCCGAGTCCCATAGGTTTCTGGCATTGTTAGCGGGCATGTCTCAAATTAGAGTTGTAGGATGAACTCACATAGCTTGAGGCCGACCAGCTGAGGTTGCTGAGATTGTGTCAAACTGGAAGAGAACCCACCATATTCGGACATACTTTCGCTTGTAGACCGGTAGATTCGTTGAGTGGCTGGCGTCGCGGTGAAGTCCCATGGCCATTGCCGTCCTGATAGCAATTCCAATCCAATGCCACGCATTGGCATCAGAATACCAGGTCAACAGTAGCGGCACCTGAACGTAAATAAGTCTATCATGCCACGAATCACTCAAGACCAGATATTTGGCTCTTCGGAAAAAGGCAGGAAGTAGAGCAAGCATACTCTCATCTTGGGATGCCAGCGTTTGTGCTCCAACAAGTAGGATAGCGTTAAGAAGCGTCAAGCAGAGGGGGTTCATGCGATCCTGCTCTTGATATTGGGTCATGAATAGCTCCTCGTCCACAATTGGCCACCCACGGTTGACGAGGTCAAAATAGGCTCTGATCAGTCTCATTTCAAGAGCCTTGCTGGGTCGTATAAGGATCTCTTCTGGAATATTATGTGCTTCGTACCAATTCTCAGAAGAGTCTAACTGACCGTTGCCAAAGTGAAAGACCTTCTCAAGTCCGGTCTCAGAGGTGCTCTGTCGTACAAGGTAATGGCAGTTGGAGAGCTCGGACCCAATGAAATGACAACGAGTCCGATGGCCAAGCTCGACCTGGCTAAGCTCGACCTCCGTTTTGTCATTGCGGTTCAAGAGGTGTGATCCCAGATCTTGCTCGCCATCCTCTCTTGCAGTGGCAGCTGGCTCAGTTACTATAGGTGATAGGGCCGCTGGTGAATTTGTGGCTTCTCGAGGACGGAGTGGAGCAAGAATGGCTGGTCGATTCAAGGATTGTCTTGCATCTTTTTTGTTCGGACACATACGACACCCCGATCGGCCATGAGTGCTGCAGTTTGTACAAGGAACGCCTTTGTCGACAATATCACAGCGGATCTTTCGCTGGCGGCAGTTGAGGCAAGCTCGCCCTTGAAGTCCTGGTTAGCAACTGAGCAAAATACGGTGACCCCGTACAGGGTAACTCACTCGTAGGTCCTTCTGCGCGAGGCAATTGTGGCCTCTTGGCCGCTATGTTATGCGACCGGGGGCGATCGCAGGGCATTTCCGTCACAAATATAGAAATTGCTGCAGAGAAATTGTTTAAATTACTAAGAATGTGAGGGTTTGCAGCAGTCGGTCACGTATTGCTGTGGAATTGTGCAAGAATGAGAAAAAGTTCCTTACTCAGATATCTAATCTCGTTTCGTGGCCGTCATCAGCAACCCGACCATATGTGGCGTAACAGTGGCGCATTAGGCAACGTGGCTGGTTCCAACTTCGATAGCTCAACTCGATGTTGGCTAGAGATATTGAAGACTGGAAAAGACTTTTCCAATTGAGTCTCCAGCTGTGAAATAATAGAAGCAGGTTTGTGATAATGCGATTGGATGCTATTTGTCATCTTCACATCGATCTTTTGATTGTTCATCTTGAGTCTCGGCATGCTCAGCCAATCAAGCTTGGAAGTGACTCCGGACTTCGGGGAAATGAACCAATCACGGCGACGCTCGGCCCAAGACGTCAAAGTGGTCCAACAAAGCTTCTTGGTCTGCGGCACAAGAGCCAATCAGAGAGTCTGCTTCAACCCAGAATCACCTAGATTATCATGAAGAGCGCCGTCTCGCCGTTTGCTTATCAGCGTCCACTGCATAAACAGTCTTCAGCCTGTTATATATAGAGTGAAGAGGAGTCAATGCATAGTAATAATTTGGTATTTGCATCCTACCACTAAAAAACATAAAACTCAAGTTATATCACTATCATCATGCCTTCGCGATACTTATTTCCATCACGCGCCAAGCAGGACCTTACCCTTGAAATTAACATTGATGACCATTATGAGTCCAAAGTTTATACGTTCGGCTCAACTGTCTCAGGCTTCGTCACAATAACAGCCCATAGCCAACTGCCTTTCCAGTCTCTCCAGATTGATCTAAGAGGCATTACCTCGACCTGTGGCCACGCATTTCAGTACGGCACACCTTTCAAGACCCACGTTTTTATGCAGTTGCAAATGCCAATCCCTGCATCAGCTCTACCTGTCAACCAGTCGCTTGAGCCAGGACAGTTATACCACGTTCCTTTTCAATTCGTGATCCCCGAGCATCTCTCATCTGCTGCATGCAACCACCAGAATAAAGCAGTCAGGGAGCGA